ATATATATGTAATAGATTCATGTACGATCGTGTCGTGCTGGTGTATTTGGCAACAAATGACGAGCGACGTGTATACAAGCCAAGGTGCTTCAAAGGAGATAAACCTCGCAACGTAACACAATAAACATTAGATCATACCCACACACATCCACCGCAATGGCGCATTCAAGCTCACTCACAACCATGACCACAGACACACTCGCACACCTAAAGATCGCATGAGTCCACTTGTGTCTCATGTCGCCCTGGCTAACTATCAAGGAACACCGAGGCAGCTGTACGTTAACAATGAAATGCACCACCTCCGCATCAGACTCCCGCACCCCCGGCGCTGGCTGGTCAGTCATTCTCTCCCGTGGCTCAACAGATCCATCGGAGTCTGAGTCTGCCAACCTACCCCCCCTGGGGTGCTGGGTATTCCCCAGGAGTGTTGGTGAAACCACCGCGCAAGCCTTGTTCGCGTTGTCCCCACACGTGGGCACTAGTGTGCTCAGTCCCTTGGCTGTAAACCGCTTCTCAAAGGTCATACAACAGTCCTGCAGTAAGGTGAGTGTGCACAGCCGCTCTCCCCAGGCCCACTCATCGTCCACGTGGGCATCGTTCGCCGAACCTCGGGCCGAAGTGTACTCTAAGTTCCCTATCAACCAGAATATAAACTCACCATTATTATGATACGAGGCTAAACCAGAATTTAAACTCACCATTATTATGATACGAGGCTAAACCAGAATATAAACTCACCATTATAATGATACGAGGCTAAACCACAATATGAACTCACCATTGTTATGATACGAGGCTAAACCAGAATATAAACTCACCAGTATTATGATACGAGGCTAAACCACAATATAAACTCACCATTATTATGATACGAGGCTAAACCAGAATATAAACTCACCATTATTATGATACGAGGCTAAACCACAATATAAACTCACCATTATTATGATACGAGGCTAAACCACAGTATAAACTCTCCATTATTATGATACGAGGCTAAACCACAATATAAACTCACCATTATGATACGAGGCTGAGCTGTTCATAGACCAAAGGTCACTCCAGCGTGTCAAATAAAAAGAATACTTTGCACTTGAATGAAAACGGAGGATTGGGTATTTGCGAGCTATCAATTACCTTGTTCCACGGCAACGAAGTCTTCCAACTCTGGGATACCAGCTAACCTTGCTGTCAGGTCTCTGCAAAAACAATGAAATTAACATCAAACCTGATAAAGTGCTATCATAAGCCTTCATACCGAGTAGCGGCATTATACAAATATAGATATGTACATACACACACACACACACAAACACACGCACACACACACACACACACGCACACACACTCACGC